CTGACCATTCCCCTGCCATTTCAGAATTTGACCTCTTTTAGCCCCTTGTTTTTTCTTTTTCCCCTGCTGTAAAGGGAGCGCCCGTTCTTTCATTTTACTCTACTCCTCCCTTTTTTTTGAGGAAAAAGCCTGTGCAAATGGTGCCACCGAGTTAATTTTTCTGGGATAAATTTGGGTCTTTTTTGCCCTTTTATATCTTCCCCTTATATCGGTTAGGACTTGGTTTTCTTGTCCCCCTTTTTTTTTTTTGTTATTTAAGTTAATTTGGTGAATGCTCCCCCCTGAAGTCTCTTTTTTTCGGTCTGGGGGCCCCCCATACATTCTGAAACCCAATTATGTTTTGATCTAGTATATTGTTTTTGATTGGTAAATTTTTTTTCAGATCATCTTGTTGTGAAAATGAGGGCTAGTGTTTCTCCTTTTGTATATATTTTATATATAATATTATATTATTTGTATGTATTTTTATATAATTTTGTTTTATATTATATAAATTTTTATTATTTAAAAATATATTAATTTTTATATATTATGTGGGTGTGGGGGGGTGTGTGTGGTGGTGTTGTTTTGTGTGTGTTTCTAACCCAATTGTAGTTGCAGGGGTGAACTCAGCTCCTGGCCCCGCCTCTTCACTGAACGCTACTAGGTCCTCTCTTTTCCTGCTCCATGACCATTATCATACCTCGTCTTAAAGCTATGTATGGTTCCTGCCTCCACTTACCTGGAGTTTACCTGGAGAGAGTTCCGGGGGTCAACGCCCCCGCGGCCCGGTCTGTGACCAGGCCTCCTGGTGGATCAGAGCCTGATCAACCAGGCTGTTACTGTTGGCTGCACGCAAACCAACGTACACGCCACAGCCCGGCTGGTCAGGAACCGACTTTAGGAGCTTGTTCAATGCCAGCTTGAAGACTGCCAGGGGTCTGTTGGTAATCCCCCTTATGTATGCTGGGAGGTAGTTGAACAGTCTCGGGCCCCTGACACTTATTGTATGGTCTCTTAACGTGCTAGTGACACCCCTGCTTTTCATTGGGGGGATGTTGCATCGTCTGCCAAGTCTTTTGCTTTCGTAGTGAGTGATTTTCGTGTGCAAGTTCGGTACTAGTCCCTCTAGGATTTTCCAGGTGTATATAATCATGTATCTCTCCCGCCTGCGTTCCAGGAAATACAGGTTCAGGAACCTCAAGCGCTCCCAGTAATTGAGGTGTTTTATCTCCGTTATGCGCGCCGTGAAGGTTCTCTGTACATTTTCTAGGTCAGCAATTTCACCTGCCTTGAAAGGTGCTGTTAGTGTGCAGCAATATTCCAGCCTTGATAGAACAAGTGACCTGAAGAGTGTCATCATGGGCTTGGCCTCCCTAATTTTGAAGGTTCTCATTATCCATCCTGTCATTTTTCTAGCAGATGCGATTGATACAATGTTATGGTCCTTGAAGGTGAGATCCTCCGACATGATCACTCCCAGGTTTTTGACGTTGGTGTTTCGCTCTATTTTGTGGCCAGAATTTGTTTTGTACTCTGATGAAGATTTAATTTCCTCGTGTTTGCCATATCTGAGTAATTGAAATTTCTCATCGTTAAACTTCATATTGTTTTCTGCAGCCCACTGAAAGATTTGGTTGATGTCCGCCTGGAGCCTTGCAGTGTCTGCATCGCTCGCCAGACTGTTCCACCTCCTGACCACTCTATGACTGAAGAAATGTGTATATATAATATATATATATAATATTATATATATATATATATATATATAGTGTATGTGTGTGTGTGTACTCACCTAATTGTGGTTGCAGGGGTCGAGACTTATCTGCTGGCCCTGCCTCTGATCGCTACTAGGTCCTCTCTCTGCTTCCTGAGCTTTGTCATACCTCGTCTTAAAGCTATGTATGGTTCCTGCCTCCACTACGGCATTTGCTAGGCTATTCCACTTCCTGACGACTCTGAAGAAATACTTCCTAACATACCCGTGACTCATCTGAGTCTTCAGCACCCAATTGTGACCCCTTGTTTCTGTGTCCCATCTCTGGAACATCCTGTCTCTGTCCACCTTATTGATTCCACGCAATATTTTGTATGTTGTTATGTCTCCCCTGATCCTTCTGTCCTCTAGTGTTGTCAGTCCGATTTCCTTCAACCTTTCATCGAAGGACATTCCCCTGAGCTCTGGAACTAGCTCCGTGTGTGTGTGTGAATTAGTGTTAATGTTAGGTAAGACACATGCAACAGTTAGGTATCTTTATTTCGAAACGTTTCGCCTACACATAAAGATACATAAAGATACCTAACTGTTGCATATGTGTCTTACCTAACAATCTGTCGGTATTTTATACCATTTTAATGTTCATTAGTGTTAATAAACAATGTGCAGCTCCAACCTGTAAATCTATGTAAGTATATATGGGTATGGTGCCAGATAAGTGGAAAATGGCAAATGTGATACCTATTTTCAAAGCTTCGAACTATAGACCAATAAGCCTAACCTCCATAGTGGGAAAATTTATGGAATCAATAATTGCCGAGGCAGTTCGTAGCCACCTTGAAAAGCATAAATTAATCAACGAATCTCAGCATGGTTTTACAAAGGGGCCTTCCTGCCCTACGAATTTATTAACTTTTTTCACTAAGGTATTTGAGGAGGTAGATCATGATAATGAATATGATATTGTGTATATGGACTTCAGTAAGGCTTTTGACAGGGTCCCACATTAGAGACTATTGAGGAAAATTAAGGCACATGGAATAGAAGGAGAAAATTTTTCCCGGATAGAGGCATGGTTGACAAATAGGCAGCAGAGAGTTTGCATAAATGGGGAGAAATCCGGGTGGGAAAGCGTCACGAGCGGTGTTCCACAGGGGTCAGTGTTGGGCCCCCTGCTGTTCACAATCTACATAAACGACATAGATGAGGGCATAAAGAGCGACATCAGCAAGTTTGCCGATGACACCAAAATAGGCCGTCGAATTCATTCTGACGAGGACATTCGAGCACTCCAGGAAGATTTGAATAGACTGATGCAGTGGTCGGAGAAGTGGCAGATGCAGTTTAATATAGACAAATGCAAAGTTCTAAATGTTGGACAGGGACAATACCATGTCAATATAAACTAAATAATGTAGATCTTAATATTACGGATTGCGAAAAAGATTTAGGAGTTCCGGTTATCAGTAATCTGAAACAAGACAACAGTGCATAAGTGTTCGCAATAAGTTAAATAGAATCCTTGGCTTCATATCAAGAAGCATAAATAATAGGATGTCCTCAGGTTGTTCTTCAACTCTATACATCCTTGGCTAGGCCTCATTTAGATTATGCTGCACAGTTTTGGTCACCGTATTACAGAATGGATATAAATGCTCTGGAAAATATACAAAGGAGGATGACAAAGTTGATCCCATGTATCAGAAACCTTCCCTATGAGGATAGACTAAGGGCCCTGAATCTGCACTCTCTAGAAAGACGTAGAATTAGGGGGGATATGATTGAGGTGTATAAATGGAAAACAGGAATAAATAAAGGGGATGTAAATAGTGTGCTGAAAATATCTAGCCTAGACAGGACTCGCAGCAATGGTTTTAAGTTGGAAAAATTCAGATTCAGGAAGGATATAGGAAAGTACTGGTTTGGTAATAGAGTTGTGGATGAGTGGAACAAACTCCCAAGTACAGTTATAGAGGCCAGAACGTTGTGTAGCTTTAAAAATAGGTTGGATAAATACACGAGTGGATGTGGGTGGGTGTGAGTTGGACCTGACTAGCTTGTGCTACCAGGACGGTTGCCGTGTTCCTCCCTTAAGTCAATGTGACCTGACCTGACTAGGTTGGGTGCATTGCCTTAAGCCGGTAGGAGACTTGGACCTGCCTCGCATGGGCCAGTAGGCCTGCTGCAGTGTTCCTTCGTTCTATGTTCTTATGATATTTGTAGATGAATGGTTCAGAGAACCGACATGTTGATAAATTATGATAGTACGAAGGGCGGGTGCGGGGGTGATTATCTGGGCTGCCGCCCTTGGTGGTGGTTCCTCCTGGGAGGGCGGGCTGTGGGGATTCTTGCCTCGTTGTGGGGGATGTTCTTCCTTGCTGGGGGTCTGGTCAGAGTATTCCCTGCCGGGGGATAGGTGGCCTGGCCCGGGGAATGGGTTACTGCCTGGTGCTGCCATCTGTGCTGACGCCATCTTGAGCAAGCTGGTGTTTGTGAGCTTATATTTATAAGAGGTAAGGTGCCGTAAGATATTTGAATCATTTGAGAGTTGTATAAGCTGGAAGAGGATCAAAATACCTTCGTGAGGTTGCATGAACATATCTCTATAGAGGCTCATGTGAGAGGAAATGTATAAGATGAGTGATAAAGGTAATGCTGCAAGTTATCATGAGATATAAACTGATGATCTACATGATATGCGAAAAATATATACGTCACTCAAACTGATGATGTACAATATTTAAAATAACTTCAAGTATTCCATTTATTACTTAATATTACTCTTTGTGAGGAATAGAATTAGCTTCTCATTGATGTAGTTTAACAAATAATAAAAGCCTGTTTTTGCTTCATCGTTAATTAACATAATATAATTTTATTATAAAATTTAGTATTGCGTATTTAAATTAGGAAATATAATTTGTCGATGAGTTTAATGCTGGTGGATGAACCTAAACTATCATTCATTTATATAATACTGACAAGTTTATCGCTTTCTTTGATTATAGTAATAATAATAATAATAATAATAAGTTGAAGAATTATTATCAAAGGAAGTGCCTTGATGCCGGTGAGTAGCTCTTGATCCAAGGTGCTGCATGACCCCTCTGGGTTTAACTTCCATAATAATAAAGGCCAAAACAAATAAAACACTAACCTTATTAGGTTATCTCAGGTTAAATTTTACATAAATTAATATAAAAAAATGTAAAAACTCAAAACTGTGTATTAGGTCTGCAGAAAGAAACTGACTTTCAACGTTTTGATATATATTGACTTAACAAGAGTGAAGAACTACTCAGTATTCACCCCTTTAATTGAACTATATTTTTAATAGAGGGTAAATGCCACAGGAATGTGAGACAATGAGGTTCAATCCAAGAAGAGGGAGGATAAGGCCAGGTTCTTGTATCAAGAGCCCCTGACCTGCATCAAGGCACCTTCCAAAGACCCCAGTGGAAATAAGCCAAGGACCCCAATATAAATAAGTCACTTTGCCTGGATTTTATTTTTGGGGGGGAGGGTTATCCTAGGTAATTTACTATGCATGATATTGTATTTATGTGTAAGTGTACATAATTAAACTTAACTTAATTCCTTGAGTGTAAGGGATGACCAAATGCGGTGACATAATAATTATGATAATCATAAGTTAACTTAGGTTGGCTGCCTTAACAATTTATTCTTAACTTTAAATCAGCTCAATAATACCTTATAATTCAGGTATAACATAAATGAATTTAAGTAACAGTACCTAGATCAATATGTACTTTTCTCTTGGGAGTATTATTTATGTAAATTTTCCAGTATTAAGTGCATTATCCAAGAGATATATACTGTATACTTGAAAATAAAATAATATAAAAATATTTTTAATTAATGACCATACAAACAGTTATGGTAGTTAGATTTATTTATTATTTGGTTATCGTTTTGACAGTTATTTTTTCAGATAAAATTTGAAAGTACATATTGGAAAAGAACTTTTTTTTCTATATAATCAAACCTAATGTGACCCAACTTAACCTTACCAACAATTTTATGGTTAGTCTAGGTTAGGTTTGGATGGGTTATGTTAGGTTAAGTTATTAAATTTAATTTTCAGTTTAAAGCTTTTCTCCTGTCTAAAATATTGCTGTGTCCACTAAACAACCTACTTAAAAAAAATATTCATTGAGCCTCAAGGAGAAATCTCATTATTTTTCTTGATGTGTCCTTTTTTTTTTTAACTTCTCTGAGGTTATTGATTCCCATTCATGTACCTAGAAGTGGACCCCATGGCTTGGTAAGCAACGCACTCGCCTCATACACTGAGTGACTGTGGTTCAATCCTTGGCATGTGTAGAAATGTTGGGCATGTTTCCTCACACCTGTTGTCCCTGTTTGCCTAACAGTAAGTAGGCATCTGGGTGTTAGTTGACTGTTGTGGGTAGCATCCTGGAGGCCAAGATTAAAGGATCCCATTGGAAATAATATGTTTATTTACTACAAATACATGTACAAGGTATACAGCCCTAGCTGACATCAATGACATGCTACTATGTAGAATGCCACTTGTTATGCAGAGCATTTCAGGCAAATTAGGTCAGTTTTGTCCCAGGATGTGACCCACACCAGTCGACTAACTCCCAAGTACCCATTTTACCGATGGGTGAACATAGACAACTGGTGTCACGAAACATGCCCAATGTTTCTACCCTCACTGGGAATCAAACCCAGACCCTCACCATGTAAAGAGAAAGCTTTAGCCACCAGGCCACAGGACAGACAGTCCTCAACACACTGATTTTCTTGGGTTATCTAGAGTGGCTAACCTTCCAGGTTAAAAATCCAAACAAATCTTATCTTACCTTATCTTAACCCAGTGCACTTCAAATTGAACAGTAACAGTATACGTACTACATTAGAAATCAGAATAAATTTAAGTCATGGTAAACGAGCTGCTTTCTGACTAAGCAAACTAGAAGCAGTACATAAGTTTTTATTGAAGGTTTGGGTACACATTTAATTTAGGCTTTGGGATCACAGATTTTTTTAAGCATGCATAAGTAAGTTATATGCATTTAACCTAGAATAACCCAGTAAACATTGTGACTTATTTCCATTGAGGTCAAGTGTTTCAAAAAATTTCATAATTAGCAGCTAAATAAGATGTATTTAAGGTAGCCACAACTAAACAGCTGTATTTAGTGTGTGCCTCACACAAAACATCAAGAACTCATGTAAAAATTGAAATAAATCTGTAAAAAATAACACTAACAAAATTAGTCTGTTTTTGTATAGGAGTGTTTAGTGTAATACTATCTTTATGCACCCCTATCCTGTGGGGCAGTGTAAGTGTAGCTTTTGTATAGCAAAGTAAGTGTAGTTTTTGTATAGGAAAGTAAGTAGTTTTTGTATAACAAAGTAAGTGTAGTGTTTGTATAGTAAAGTAAGTGTAGTGTTTGTATAGCAAGGTAAGTGTAGTTTTTGTATAGCAAAGTAAGTGTAGTTTTTGTATAGCAAAGTAAGTGTAGTTTTTGTATAGCAAAGCAAGTGTAGTTTTTGTGTAGCAAAGTAAGTGTAGTTTTTGTATAGCAAAGTAAGTGTAGTTTTGTATAGCAAAGTAAGTGTAGTTTTTGTATAGCAAAGTACAGTGGACCCTCGACCAACGCTATTAATCCGTTCCTGAGAGCTCATCGTTAATCAAGTTAATTTTCCCCATAAGAAATAATGGAAATCAAATTAATCCATGCAAGACACCCAAAAGTATTGAAAAAAAAAATTTTTACCACATGAAATATTAATTTTAATACAAACTGAAGAAGACATGTACAATTACATGACACTTACCTTTATTGAAGATCTGGTGATGATTGATGGGATGGGAGGAGGGGAGACTGTGGATGGTGTTAGTGTTTAGAAGGGGAATCCCCTTCCATTAGGACTTGAGGTGTCAAGTCCTTTTCCGGGGTTACTTCCCTTCTTCTTTTAATGCCACTAGGACCAGCTTGAGAGTCACTGGACCTCTGTCGCACAACATAGTCTTTCCATAGAGGCCTGTACCTCCCGTTCCTTTATGACATTCCTAAAGTGTTTCACAACATTGTCAGTGTCACAATTAAACACTTGTTCAGGTTTCAATTCTTCACTATGTACTCCTTGAATTCCTGCACATATTTTTCAGCTGCTTTTTGGTCCAAACTGGCAGCCTCACCATGCCCTATCACACTATGTATGCCACTACGATTCTTAAATCTCTCAAACCCACCTTTGCTGGCCTTAAATTCACTCACATCACCACTAGTTGCAGGTATTTTTCTAATTAACATAAATGTTAAACCTAAAACCCAATCTAACTTTATTATTTTTTAAATACACTACCTAACAGAATACTCCATTCTACTGAATGTACAACAATGCATGCAACCAAATGACCTGTCTTTGTAATACTCACTTGTGCTTTATAGTAATCTGTTTACATTAATGTTTTATCACTGATTTCATCATTGCTTAGTTAATCTTAAGTTAATTTTAAGCCAGCCCGTAATGCTATGCATAGTATAAGTGGCTTTGGCATGCTGCTCTTATCTGTATTTTTTTGTACCTCTGTATGTGTGCTCAAATTGTTAATAAATAAATAAATAAATAAATAAATAAATAAATAAATAATTAAATCCTCATGCAACTTCCTAGCCTTCTCACATATGATCGCTTGAGAGATGCTATCTCCTGCTATCTGTTTTTCGTTTATCCACACCAATAACAGTCTCTCAGCATCTATCACTTGCGATCTCAGTTTCGAAAACATAGTTGCACCTTTGGCAAGAACAGCTTCCTTGATTGCCGTTTTTTTGGCCACAATAGTAGTGATGGTTGATTGGGGTTTTGTGTACAACCTGGCCAGCTCGGAGACATGCACTCCACTTTCATACTTAGCAATGATCTCTTTCTTCATATCCATAGTAATTCTCACCCTTTTTGCTGTAGGGTTGGCACTAGAAGCTTGCTTGTGGCCCATGGTGACTTATTTTGCAGGTGCAATCACTAAAAATGCTGTGATAATATGAAATGTTCTGATTGTATGTTTGGATGGGACCGCGGTGGGTGGCTGGCTTGTAAACACTGGCCACAAGTGGACGCATCCCAGACGGAACGAATCGTGTTGGTTGAGTTTTTTAGCGCTAGTCGAGGCAAAATTTTTGCGTTAAAATGTATCGCTAATCGGATTTAATGTTAGACGATGCCAGCGTTGGTCGAGGGTCCACTGTAAGTGTAGTTTTTGTTTAGGAAAGTAAGTGTAGTTTTTGTATACGAAAGTAAGTGTAGTTTTTGTATAGCAAAGTAAGTGTAGTTTTTGTATAGCAAAGTAAGTGTAGTTTTTGTATAGCAAAGTAAGAGTAGTCAAAGTGAGTAGTAAAAACCACAATCATAACAAATCCCCAAGCTAAGATATAAGTAACATTAAAATCAGTGTCATGCAAATGACTGCATGAAAAATCTTGCTATGTACATACCTGGAGAAGGTTTCGGGGGTCAATGCCCCTGCGGCCCTGCCTGAGACCAGGCCTCATGGTAGATCAGGGTCTGATCAACCAGGCTGTTACTGCTGGCCGCATGCAATCTGACGTACGAACCACAGCCATGTTGGTCAGGTATTGACTTTAGGTGCCTGTCCAGTGCCTTCTTGAAGACAGCCAGGGGTCTATTGGTAATCCCCCTTATGTATGCTGGGAGGCAATTGAACAGTCTTGGGCCCCAGACACTTATTGTGTTGTCTCTCAGTGTACTCGTGGCGCCCCTGCTTTTCATCGGGAGAATGTTGCATCTCCTGCTGAGGCTTTTGCTTTCATAGTTATAAGTTCTTTCTTCAAAGTTATAAATACATAAATAATTATATGTTTGACAGCGATGCAGCAACAAAGCATCTGGACCTATATTCCTAGGTCTAGGAACTGTAAAAGCATAAGAATGAAGGATCACTGCAGTAGGTCTATTGGCCCATGCTAGGCAGGTCCATCTCTTGCCCACTCATATACCTTGTTATAAAACAAGCTAGGAAAGAGCTAAACATATGATGTATATGTTGCTCTATATTGTTTAAAATAACATTATTACGTTTCCAAGAAAAAAATTATTCGGATTAGTGACCTCAGATGGCTAATAATGTGGGATAACTGAAGAAAGTTAAACAGGATAGCTTATTTCCATTATGGCCCTTAGGCCCTCTTCAGAATGCAACACGAAACGAACAGGAAACGGGTGATATCTTAATAAGCACAGTGAAAAAATAGTGAAATTCCAAGTGCTTTTGTGATTTTTTTCTTTTTTTGCAGAAATTAGTTATACAGACTAAGAACTTATCTTACCTCAGCTCATTTCAAAGTCCAGGCCTGTTTAAGGTACAGGCAGGCCTCGCTTTACAGTGTTTTGCTAATAAAGTGGTTTTCAATTATACCCATTCTTCATTTATTCAGACTTCCTACAATAAATACATTCACACCACTCACTATAAGCTAAGGACAAAAATATATTAAGATGAGTAATATGTGTACTGTTTATGTATTTTTTTAGGCCTAGCTATATTACTCACTTAATATATAATAATGTAAATGTATTATCAGGCTTTGAAGGTGAAAAAAGGGTATGATTGCAGCGATTTTTGCTTCACAGCAGTGAAGCGAGGCCCTCCTGTGTGCTACCTCCCCCATGATGCAACCCATAACAGTCAACCAACACCCAGGTACCTACTTACTGCTAGGCGAACAGGGGCAACTGGTGTAAGGAAACATGCCCAACATTTCCACCCATGCCAGGAATCGAATCACGGACACTCAGCATATTAGCCGGGTGTGCTGCCAACCAAGCCACAGGACACCATTCTTACATTATCAAGGAACATATATTGCAGTTGTAATACTGTATATGAAATGACTAATATTTATTCAGACGTAACTATGCCCAGTGGGATCTGACAAGGACCTATTGTGACCTCTGTGTTCCTGCTTTTGTACTATTGCTCACAGGATAAGCATGGGGGTATATAATAAACTAACCACTCATGTGGCATGACCAAACTATTGTATTAATCAGCCAGCATCCAGGCATCTATTTACTGCTATAAAAATCTAATTATTTTAGGTTTCATGTATATGCAGTTAATAGCATCTTCACAAAAGATGTTAAACTTAAACTTAAAAAAAAAGATACAGTACTTCATTTTTAATATTAAATCTTTTCAACAGTAGATTGGAACTGCAGGTTATGTCAATTACTGGGGATGTCAGAGCAGTGTCAAGAAGATGTCATGTACCAGGATGTGGAGCCTCTTCTCCAGGTGAATTTTTCCTCTTTATTTAAAGCATGGAATATTTATAATGTAAACAATGCACAGTTAAAAGAGTAGATAAAAAGTTGGGTCCTAGGAGCTAAAAATCAGTGAAATCAATCTATAAGAGTTTTAAAGGTGGGTTCAGGAGATATAACATGATCCTTGCAAACACAGCTGGGTGACTACAATAAACAGTATAAATCAGCACCAAAGTAGTCAAAAGTATATCTCCCGATAAAGAATATTATGAAGAGTAGAAAGTAAATATTTTATTAGATTCAGAAGAACATTTAACCCTTTCACTGTCCAGACCCCTCAGATTACTATTACATAGTCTTATCATCCATTTAAAAATGGAAGAGAATCTCTTTCTGAAGGTAATGACATTAAAAGTATGAAATTTGATGAAAAATGTATGGAATTATGCAGTCATAAAATTAGCGGTTTCACTACAATTTACACATTGGCGATTTTGCCCACTTTTGGTCTTTTTTTTTTAAGCCAATTCCATTGCTCCATTCATTGAAATTCTTAGCTCTTTTTCTATTATGCCTTCCATTCTGTCAATTGAGCACACAAGGAACTGCCCATTTACCTATTTTCACTACCCTATAAACTGCACAGAAGTTCGTAATTTAGCCAATTTTACAGAGAATTAAAAAATAGCAATTTCAAAACTGAGACCAAAATAAACAATGTAGACATTCCTAACACTAAAACATCATTTCCTCTGTTCATTAATCACATCCCCAGGCCTTTCCTGTATTACACTTGCCTTCCATTTTGAATTCTTAATCACACAAAAATAGATAATTTTTCTCAGATAATAAAATACAGTATAACCAGGAATGATTGGTCATGGTTTATAGTGTCCCAGTAATTGAACCAATTAGAAATCCATAAAACAGACTGGGGAAGGGGGGTGTAGGTGGCCTTACCCATCCTCGGAAACTCTGTAATAATTTAATATTTTTGCTACTTTGAGCTTAACTTCAAGCTACATCTGTCCTGAAACCAACCAAAATTATCTCTATTTCATTAATATGTCTTCCATTTTGTGACATAAACAACCAATAAAACTATAAAAACCATCCCAAAAAAACCTCAAAATTGCTGTTTTAAACCATGCATATGGTCAGAGTTTTGCTTTTCCTGTCATGCACTGTGTAGAGTAGGATTTTTTTACACTGTGCACACTTACTGCACATACCCATTTTCTTATATCTAGGCCAAAATTTACTGCTCACAGCTCATGTGAGTGAGCTTTCATGACAAAGAATTATGTGATTAACCCTGGTGTAGTGACGTAGTTCTACATGATACACCATTGAAAGGGAAAACATAAAGTACATCTATACAGTAGTGTAAAGATAATGAGAAGAGTTTTAAGGTCATAAATAGTGTATTGCATATACTGCATTACATTAGCTATGTCTGTCATAAGATGGAATATTTACTATAGTACGTATATTAAAGAGATACATAATTAGGTTTTACCTAGGTAGTAGGTTGGTAGACAGTAACCACCCAGGGAAGTATTACTGTCCTGCCAGGTAAGTGTAAAATGGAAGCCTGTATTTGTTTTACATGATGTTAGGATTGCTGGTGTCTTTTTCTTTCTCATAAACATGCAAAATATGGACTAAGGTGCATTCATTTGTGGAGGAACATCACCCTGAGAAAGCTGTTGCAATATGTGCAACAATGCCATGTCCCATTTTAGGCAAATCTTAAAGAGACGCCAGAAACAGACCTATCTGGACAGATATTTTGTGCGACAGGGGTCCAGTGACTCTTAAGCTGGTCTTGCTACTTCTGCTTACACTTAGGTCACACTACACATACATATACAGTGGACCCTCTGTTTTCGTGTTTAATCCGTTACAGAGAGAGCGGCGAAAATGGAAATCAGCGAAAACTGAAACCATTTTCCCCATAAGAAATAATGGAAATCCAATTAATCCATTCCAGACACCCAGAAGTATTAACATGCACGAAAGAACGAACATTCAACATGACACTTACCTTTATTGTTGGTGGATGGAAGACAGGGAGGAGAGGAGAGGGAAGAGAGGTTATTCTTTGGAAGGGGAATCCCTTTCATAAGCACTTTAAGTACCAGGTCCTTATCTGGGGTCACTTCCCTTCTTTGTTTTTTAATGCCACTAGGACCAGCTTGAGAGTCACTGGACCCCTGTCACACAAAATATCTGTCCAGATAGGTCTGTTTCTGGCGTCTCTTTAAGATTTGCCTAAAATGGGACATGGCATTGTTGCACATATTGCAACAGCTTTCTCAGGGTGATGTTCCTCCACAAATGAATGCACCCTAGTCCATATTGCACAAATCTCCTTAATCTCTGAAGAAGGCACCTTCTTCCATCTCTCTTCCTCCTCCTCTGAAGCAGTTTCTTGAGCTGTGGTCTGTTGCTGCCGCAGATGAAGCTCTTGCAGCTCATCAGTGGTTAGCTCTTGATTGTGGTCCTCCGCCATCTCTCCACATCCTGGCCACTCACATCCAACCCCATGGAATTCCCCAATGCCACAATAGATTGCACAGCTGGCATAGGGTTGTCAAGGTCAGCCTCAAACCCTTTGAAATCTTTGTTGAAGACACAATCTGGCTGCAATTTTCTCCAAGCAGAGTTCGTCTTGGAAGTGACTCCCTGCCAAGCCTTATCTATAAGGCTTATGCAGTGGAAAATATTGAAGTGATTCCTACAGAACTCTCTTAGGGTCAATTCAGACTCTGAGGTTATGTCAAAGCACCTTTGAAACATTGTTTTGGTGTACAGTTTTTTGAAGTTTGCAATGATCTGCTGGTCCATGGGCTGGATGAGAGGAGTGGTGTTAGGAGGCATGAACTTCACTGTTACAAAACTGAATTCCTTAGACAACTGGTCTTCCAAGTCTGGAGGATGAGCAGGAGCATTGTCCATTAACAGGAGGCACTGGAGTGGCAATTTATTATCCAGGAGGTATTTCTTCACACTGGGGCCAAACACTTCATTGAACCATTCCAAGAAAATTTCTCTTGTGACCCATGCCCTACTGTTAGCCTTCCACATCACACACAATTTACTCTTGGCAACACTGTTTTTCTTGAACACACTGGGATTTTCAGTGATACACCAGTAAAGGCTTCACTTTGAAATCCCCACTAGCATTACCACACAACAGGAGAGTTTGCCTGTCTTTCATAGGCTTGTATCCTGGGAGTGCCTTTTCCTCCTGCATGATGTAGGTCCTCTTTGGCATTTTCTTCCAAAACAGGCCTGTTTCATCACAATTGAACACTTGTTGGGGTTTGAATTTTTCAGCCATACAAAGTCTTTGAATTCCCACACAAATTTTTCAGCACAATGTTTGTCAGAACTCGCACTCTCACCATTCCTTACAACACTGTGAATGTCACTTTGCTTCTTGAATTTTTCGAACCAGCCTTTGCTGGCCTTAAATTCACCAACATCAGCACTCGTACCAGGCAGTTTCCTTATTAGATCGTCATGCAACTGCCTTGCCTTTTCACAAATTATCGACTGCACAACACTATCTCCTGCTAACTCTTTCTCTCTGATCCACACCAACAACAATTTCTCCACATCTTCAGTTGTCTGGGCTCTCTACTATTTTGTTATCGCATTCATTCAGGTAGTAGGTTGGTAGACAGCAACCACCCAGGGAAGTACTACCGTCCTGCCAGATGACTGTGAAACAGAAACCTGTAACTGTTTTGCATGATGGTAGGATTGCTGGTTTCTTTTTCTGTCTCATAAACACGCTAGATAACAGGGATATCTTGCTACTCCTACTTACACTTTGGTCACACTTCACAGACACGCACATGCATATATATATACATACATCTAGGTTTTTTCTCCTTTTTCTAAATAGCTCTTGTTCCTCTTTATTTCTTCTATTGTCCATGGGGAAGTGGAAAAGAATCTTTCCTCCGTAAGCCATGCGTGTCGTATGAGGCGACTAAAATTGCCGGGAGCAATGGGCTAGTAACCCCTTCTCCTGTAGACATTTACTAAAAAAAGAGAAGAAGAAAAACTTTAAAAACTGGGATGCTTAAATGTGCGTGGATGTAGTGCGGATGACAAGAAACAGATGATTGCTGATGTTATGAATGAAAAGAAGTTGGATGTCCTGGCCCTAAGCGAAACAAAGCTGAAGGGGGTAGGGGAGTTTCGGTGGGGGGAAATAAATGGGATTAAATCTGGAGTATCTGAAAGAGTTAGAGCAAAGGAAGGGGTAGCAGTAATGTTGAATGATCAGTTATGGAAGGAGAAAAGAGAATATGAATGTGTAAATTCAAGAATTATGTGGATTAAAGTAAAGGTTGGATGCGAGAAGTGGGTCATAATAAGCGTGTATGCACCTGAAGAAGAGAGGAATGCAGAGGAGAGAGAGAGATTTTGGGAGATGTTAAGTGAATGTATAGGAGCCTTTGAACCAAGTGAGAGAGTAATTGTGGTAGGGGACCTGAATGCTAAAGTAGGAGATACTTTTAGAGAGGGTGTGGTAGGTAAGTTTGGGGTGCCAGGTGTAAATGATAATGGGAGCCCTTTGATTGAACTTTGTATAGAAAGGGGTTTAGTTATAGGTAATACATATTTTAAGAAAAAAAGGATAAATAAGTATACAAGATATGATGTAGGGCAAAATGACAGTACTTTGTTGGATTATGTATTGGTAGATAAAAGACTGTTGAGTAGACTTCAGGATGTACATCTTTATAGAGGGGCCACAGATATATCAGATCACTTTCTAGTTGTAGCTACACTGAGAGTAAAAGGTAGATGGGATACAAGAATAGAAGCATCAGGGAAGAGAGAGGTGAAGGTTTATAAACTAAAAGAGGAGGCAGTTAGGGAAAGATATAAACAGCTATTGGAGGATAGATGGGCTAATGAGAGCATAGGCAATGGGGTCGAAGAGGTATGGGGTAGGTTTAAAAATGTAGTGTTAGAGTGTTCAGCAGAAGTTTGTGGTTACAGGAA